ACAGAAGCTTAATAAAATTTTCTTTTTAACTCATTCAAAGTATGAGGTGGGCAAAAGATCTTCCCCTTGTGGCCATGTCATAAGGAATAAGGTTGCTGTAGAGGGAAGAGGGAAATGGAAGATGCATGCCAGCTGGAACCACCTTGTCCAGGTGGCCAGGGATGACGTACATCCTTCCACTCACAGCTCATTGGTCAGAACAAGTCTCTTAGCCTCAACTTAAGTGTAAGGAAGCTGGGAAATATACAGGAGCGTTTGGATATATGGTGAGCATAATGGTTTCTGCCACACTGTGCCATATTTCCTAGGAAAACTTTACCAGTATCTATGTTCATGAATGGAAAAAAAAATCTTCCATGGAGTGGGTATAAGAAGTACACAGCCTGCTTGCATAGGACTGTCCAAGTACACTCAGTACTTTCTAGTTTTTGTAAAGCTAAGATATAAAGCTTACATCTGGTTTTGTAAAGCTAGAGAAAGCTCTAGGTATCTCAAACACAGGCATGGAATGAACTTCTTTTTTTATATTATTGCTGCTAAGGTACAGCCCTAATAACTTATTTTGACAGTCTCTTTCATTCTGCAAAATATTTAGAGCACAAAGTGAAATAATTTAGTGAGCTTCTTTAGACTTAGAACAGAAAAATACACACTGTATATTACGGCCACAAACCTCCTACACCTAACAGCTTTTGCTTCTTGGTCTGCAGTAAAATAGGCCCAGTGGTCTAATGCTTGGTGTAAAGTAGTCTATCATAAATCTATCACTCTTACTTAAGCACCATTGGCAGTCACTGCTCCCATGAAACAGAAGAGCAAGTTACCATGGAGACAAGGCCAACTCTCTTCTCCAGAACGGCTGATTCTTCCAAGTCGTCACAGACATTACCAGAAAAATAGCATGAAGTACTCACAGAGGCTGGCAGCCCCCAATCCGTACTCAGTAACTGTGTTGCTAACCATGTTCACATTATCTTTTGATAGAGTAACAAAGACTAACACTGCACTAGAAGATAATCCTATGTAATCACTGTTTACAAAATAAATCCCTATATCCAACTAAATGATGTGGAAAGTTTAAATTGCAATATGTTTTCTACCTCTACTTAGTGCTTTATTAATGGGGTGACCACTCTGCTTGACCTATTTGCTGAAATTCGTTGGCGCTCCAAGAGAACATATGGATGGCCAGATGGGTTGCTGTAATTTAATGCCATTATTCTAAGAATGAAGTAAGGGATAAACATAATTTGCATTCTTTTCCATCCTTCCTGTATACCTTTTATTAGTTTCATTTTCAATTCAGACATCAGAAGGGAAGATAATATCTTGCTACCAAGGCCCAACTAATTACTACAAGAGACTTCAGCCCTGACACCACAGGCCAGGCCTCCGAACACACTCCATCTTACCCAGTGACCCCACCATGTGATTAATAGGTTGAGAGCTAAGCCCTAATGAGTATGTCAGATCTTCGATGGTCTCTAGGCTAATGTAATTAGCATTATGTTGAGCAGAGCATTTCAGTTACTTGGTAAAGACTCATTATACTTCATAGCCAACTATATATCTTTTTGCTTTATGGTCTTTGAATTTATTTTAAATCATCAACCTAAAAGGCCTCTATAAATAGAGATCTTTCAAATATTAGGGGAAAATTTAAATATTTTTAAATCAAATATTGATTTTCTTCTACAACAGTGAATCCCTGTGTAGTACATGAAATGAAGTGGTTTTCAGAGATGCTTGTTGGAACGAAGTTTCTGGACTCTCCCAACAGAAATTCTGATAAAAGGGAGATTGGGATAAGACCCAGGACTATGCATTTTTAACAAGAGACTCATGATTCAGCAGCAGAAAATGTGAGGACCATACTTGAAAAAATACTGCCACTTGAGTAACAGGACCAGTATGTGTGTCTCAGATTAATTGAATCTATCAGACATTTGTTCTAGTTATGATGTTTCTGAAATAAATTATCTGCACATAAGGGGAATTATTTTCACATTGAGACTACAGTTTTAAATGTGCCAATTATTTCTTGTTAAAGATTAAAAACTAATTATCAAGATAAGACGTGGATGAAATTTCTAACGAACCATGTAAGCGTGTGAGTTCTCCAGTCAACAGTGGACATAGCAGGTAGTAGTAACATTTCTATCCAGTAGGCCGTGGGTCTGGAATTGCTTTTCCACTTTCAAGAGAAAGACCAAAGGGTAGCAGAATTTCTGCAATTCCTCACTTTTTTCCATGGCCAGAGATGACTTACAAAATGTCTCAGCCCTAGTGACTAAGGCCTCTAAGCAATATTCCAATTACCTCCTTGGATCTCACCTAGATATTACCATCATCCATCACTACATACTAAGTATTTTCATGTGTCTAGCATTGCTTTCTTGAATCAACCAGATACAAAATCCCTGTTGATCTTTTAGACATACTTGATCTATTACCCTAAATATTTTAAGACAGTTTTTTCCAAACTGATAACTATTTTACCAAACTACCATTTTCTCGATGAACTTCAAAAGAGTTCTCTTTTGTGCTTTTTGACATTTATACTATATGTGTTAAAAATAGGAAAATAAGAGCATGAATAAAATGAAAACACTTTAACGATAAACATATATTATAGATATTTACTTCTTATAATTTTATACTGAGATTTAACGGTTTGAGAAAAGTAATTATACCATTCTTCATTCTAAGCCTCCTTTTAGATGCAGCCAGGGGGTGGAAGGCTGTTAAATGACCACGGCAAGTCTATGAACACATCCTGCTTTCAGGGGATGGAGAACGATTTTTGGGTATCAAGCTCTGTCTGAGACTCACTGGATGCTACCCTATTCCACTTCTTCCTCCATGAAGCCTGCATTTCCCAGCAACCTTGGCCTCTGCCTCTAGGTAGGGCAGTATAAGAGTTCTGACCAGTGGAATGTGTGCAGAAATGTTTATCCCTTCCAGCCTGGCCTCTAAAATATCACACATGATCTTTCATGCTGTCTGCATTCATTCTCTGTCCAGCTGGATGGAGCAGATTTATGCGGACACTGCAAAGCCTTAGATGATGGCATAGCCACTAGACGAAACACTGCTTGAGCAAGAAATAAACTTGTATTCCCTTAAGGAATTGAGACTTTGCGGTTGTTTGCTTAAAACTAATAAAGTCAACTAAGACTTAACTAAAAAGTTATACAAATATTTGTCTTGCTTATGAGTTAGTTAACTACCTACTCAACAGAAAATTATAAATATATAGGACCTGAAGTCCAAATTCAATAGACTTATACGAATTCACTAGAGGAATTCGTTTCATTTGTATTCAAGAAGGAAAAAAACTATGTGTGTTAACAGCACATTTTGGAGCTCAGGACAAGACGACTTTGTGTGTTGCTCTAGCAAAGCTTTATTCAAGAACACCTGATCCACGGGATAGAGGAACAAGACCAGGTGCACAATATCTACTGTTTCTATAGTCATCAGAAAAGACACAGTTAACAACCCTGAAAGCAACTGTCCAAAGGAGAATCTCAGAAAGTGTTTTAGAAGCAGAATTTTTCATTAACATACCCAAATAGCATTTTAAAGATACCTTTTGGTACTGGAACAAAAATACATCATTTAACCTAACCAAAAAGGTAAAGGAGACATATACTGGATGAATGCAAAATCGCTGACATACAGAAAGTAGAAAACACACGCACACACACAAGATTATTGGAGGATCCAATTTTTGCCTTGGTAGTACAATAAAGAGACAATATCCTAACAAATAATTATAATGTCACTAACAAATGACTTTGGTGGGGGTAGCACCTGAATCAGGTCTGTAGAATGCCTGGCTTAGATCTGGCTCTGTCACTTTCTAGGGGCAAAGAGAGAAAGGCAGAAGAGCACAGCAATTAAATGTTTGGGGTCTAAATTGCTATTTGCCACTAAAGAGCTGTTTGACTTGGGAAAACTATTTCATCTCTCTATTTTGCCAGCTATAGAATGGAGAGAAGACAACTTACTTCACAGATTGTTAAGAAGCTTAGGTCATATGACACATAGCAAGCATTTACAGAGGTCTTAGCTGAAAGTAAATACTGATAAATATTGGATATTACTCCTCATGGTACAACTCCATCACTATAGGCCATATTATCCTCACCTGTAAAATAAGAAATTGCACTAGATGATTTGTATGATTTCTTTAAGTGCTTGTATTCTGAGTCTATACCTGTCTCTTAAAATCAAATAATCAGTTGAAAAATGAAAACTCTAAAATACAAATATTTTAAGTAATGACTTAAAAAGTCTGTAAGACAGTCTGGTCTGCTGCTGAGATTGATTTAAAGAAGACAGGTGACATAATGCACTAATAAGTCCAACTTTTTTTTAACATTCAGAAGTGATATGGTACTTTGATTTATTCATTATCCCTATGAATGATACCTCATTTGAACATGGAATGTAATAAGATAATTGTCACACAACCATTTAAATAAATAATGTCATATTTAATGAGTACTGTAGAGATAAGGAATTATTTGAGTCACACAAACCTGAATGGATCCAGAAGGTACATGACAACACTCCATTTTAGCAGCTTAGGGTGAAGTACTTTCTAGGCTTATAGACTGTCCACAACTTGAGTTTCTTTCTCATTCAGAAGAAGGCATTTCTACCAACTGTAGCAATAGTAGGAAATGATACTAACACTATAGTATAGACTTTATTCCAAGTTAAATGGAAAGGTGCCTCCCTTGGAAATTCCACCATTTAGTAAATCTCATTCAAATAAACACTCTAGTAAAACTCAGAATGAAGTGAAGCATTCAAGATGTTGAATCACTAAAATCGTTAAAAATTCAATTCTAATTATACTTTCGGTTGATTTTAAGTGACTACAATATGAAAACAAAGCTTTACTATACCAAGACACCACATGTAAAACATTGTGGCATGAAGGAATTGTTTTCTTAACCCAGAATTTTATTTATTCCAAAGAACCTTACCTCCTGCGTACATAACAGCCAGTATAATAGATGATATCCATGCTATTTCACTGTAGGTAGTGTTGAATATCTGTTGAATTTCTTTGAAGAATACCGTGATGGCTTTGGGGAACGCGTACGAAAATCCAATGGAGATAAAAGCTGCTCCAACCACTATCCATCCCCATCCTCCATCAGGAGGTGGATATGATGGAGGACCCACTGGTGGTGGCATTTCTGCTCCTCTATTTGAAATTCAAGTAACCTATATTAAAAAAATGAAATAATGGTTTAAACCATATTTCCATTTTCATATATTATTCTTGATAGTCATCAAAATACTATTTTCCAGGTATAACTACAACTATATAGTCTCTCACAAATATTTTTTAATACTCTTGTACTCAGGAAATTTACAAAAAATTGGAGTGAGGTATACAACTTTGACTGTTTTGGGCTAAAAATTGAAAATATTTAATTTGTTTATGGAAACAACAATTACTCAAAGAGAAGTTAAGAATTCAGGTCTGTATTGGGGTACCAACTAAAAAATAACAGCTATCTCAATCTGATTTCTCAGCATAAGGAAAATGGAGCTGTCATCACTTAGAATACTTTCTTAATCCATAATGTTTCAGATTTTCTATACAAAGGTTAAAAAGGACCATGTGTTAAATTTGATGAATTTTAAAGAATTAAATAGTAGGCATATTTTAGAATTTTTCTACTTTTAATAATTGACAATACTTAAAAATATTTCAGCATGCACTTATTTTCTAAACATATAGGATTAGAAATTGTATGGTTTGAATGAATTAAGTTAATTTTAATGCATTTGTAAAATTGATGATACCTATCATTTTGTGAATGATACGTTCTATGCATTTTTCGCAGCAATGAAATTCTCCCAATCAAATGTATGGTATATTATTGTTTATTAAAAGAAAGGGACTTTCTTTTTGGATATGCCTAGGAACTGCTAGCTTTATGGTATAAAGCACCCACTCTCCTGTGGAAGAAATGATCACATATAGCTTAAAACAACTGAATTAAATTAAAAATATCTTGGTTATCTGACATCAATGTTTCTTTGTAGAATGCTGCTGCTTGCTTAGCTTTTAGCTGTAATTGCCAGTATTCCTCAATATCTTCTTTTTACTACTCTCATTCCATTTGTGGATATTTTTCAATTGAAATGTGGAGGGAAAAGAAACGCTTTTCTGTCGGTAAGACAACGTTGGAAATAAGTTAATAAAAACTAATTTTGCCACATCTTCAGAAAACCTACCAAAAAACTAAACAGATATCTATGAAAACAGACACAGGGGTTTAATTTTTGTTTAATGTCAAATTATATCCAAGATATTTTCAGTAATCTTCTATACGCACTTTTCAGATTTTCAGTGAAAGTATTCTCTACATTCAAGTTTTCTAATTTGCCCATAATCATACTCAAGGACTTTGCTTTCAGAAACTCATGTAGGAAAAGTGATAAAAATGAAACCTAAATAGGGAGAGCACTGTTTCTCTAGAACAAGTACTATGATGATGATGAGTAGTAGAATGAAAGTAACAACTATTACCTTAACTATATTTGAACGTTTATTTTGGCAAATATACTTAAGACTTAACATATTTTACAGTAATTCATGGATGGAGGAAAATCAGTATAACCTGTAATTAACAGATAACAGGATTTAAGATTAAAATGCTTATTTTACATTATGTGAGTCAGACATATCTCTAAGGAAGTTCTCAGACACATTCAATGTTGATCACCATTTATTTCCTTGAGTTTTTTTTCAGCTTTATTGAAATATAATTGACAAAACTGTAATATATTTAAAGTGTGCAACATGATTTGATATATGCATACACTATGACAGCATTCTCACAATCGAGTTAATTAATATATCCATCACCTCATATATATACCTTTTTTTGGTGTGAACACAAGTTCTACTCTCATAGCAAATTTCAATTATACAATATGGTATTATCAACTATAGTCACCATGTTACACATTAGATCCTGAGTCCTTATTCATCTCATAACTAAACATTTGTATCCTTTTACCAACCTCTCCCTATTTCCCCCATCCCTCAGCCCCTGGCAAACACCATTCTACACTGTTTCTATGAGTTTGACTTTTTTTTAGATTCCACATAATAAGTGTGACCATGCAGTATTTGTCTTTCTATGTCTGGCTTATTTTACTTAGCATAATGGTCTCCAGGTTCATCCATGTTGTCTCAACTGGCAGGATCTCCTTCTTTTTTAAGGCTGAATAATATTTCATTGTATATATATATATAGAGAGAGAGCTGTATGAGTTCCTTACATATTTTGGATTTAACCTCTTACTGGATATGTGGTTTGCAAATATTTCCTCCCATTTTGTGGGCTGCCTTTTCATTTTGTGGATGGTTTCCTTTACTGTGCAGAAACTATTTAGTTTGATGTAGTCCCATTTGTTTATTTTTGCTTTTGTTGCCTTTGCTTTTTTTTGACGTCAAATCCAAAAAATCATCACCTAGACCGATGTCAAGGAGTTTACCCTCTATGTGTTCTTCTAGGAGTTTTATGGTTTCAGGTCTTATGTCCAAGTCTTTAATCCATTTTGAGTTGATTTTTGTGTATGGCGTAAGATAGGGGTCCAGTTTCATTCTGTTGCATGCAGCTGCCCAGTTTTCCCAGCACCATTTGTTTAAGAGACTATCCTCTCTCTATTGTATATTCTTGGGATCTTTGTCAAAAATTGACAAATGCATAGATTTATTTCTGGGCTCTCTATGCTGTTTCACTGATTAATGTCTTTGTCTGTTTTTATGCCAATACATACTATTTTGATTAGTATAGCCTGGTAATAGAGTTAGAAATCAGGAAGTGCAATGCCTCCAGCTTTGTTCTTCTTTCTCCAAGTTCCTTTGGCTACTCGGGGTCTTTTGTGGTTCCATGTGGACTTGAGGATTGATTTTTCTATTTCCGCAAAAAGTGTCATTGGAATTTTGATAAGGATTACATTGAATCTGTAGATTGCTTTGGGTAGTAATGGACATTTTAACAATATTAATCCTTCCAATCCATGAACACAAAATATCTTTCCATGTACTTGTGTCTTCTCCAATTTCTTTCATCAATGTTTTATAGTCTTTAGTGTATAGATTTTTCACCTCCTTGGTTAAATTTATTCCTAAGTATTTTACTCTTTTGATGCTATTGTGAGTGAGATTGTTTTCCTAATTCCTCTTTCCAATAATTTGTTGTTAGTGTATAGAAACACAACCAAATTTTGTATATTGATTTTTTATACTGCAACACCACTGAATTCATTAATTAGTCATAACAGTTTTTTTTGGTGGAGTCTTTAGGGTTTTCTATAATACAAGGTCCTGTCACTTCATTGACTCCAATTTGGATGCCTTTGATTTCATTTTCTTGCCTTATTTCTCTGACTAGGACTTCGAGTACTTAATCTCCATCTGTTTGTCCTGATCTCATTAATTGATACTTACAGTTCTGGATTTTCCTTCCTGTTCAATGCTGAACCAAGGAGTGGAATGATTCTTGCATAGGCTTTTGATATATCTATTGGCTTTTTCTATTGCCTTCTGTTATTTCTCCTTTTGGATGATTGTGGACATAGTTCTATTCTGCTATTTTTGAATTAGATCAATAATTACATTTTATTTTGTTTTATTTACTTTATAACATGGATATAATTATATTATAAAACAAGGATCAGCAAACTTTTCCTGTAATGGGCTAGAAAATAAATATTTTAGGCTTTGCGGACTATATGGTCTCTCTCAGAACTACTCATCTCAATAGTTTTAGTGCAAAAGCAGCCATAGACAATACTAAAAAAATGGGCATGGCTGCGTTCCAATAAAATTTTACTCACAAACTAGCCCAAGGGCTGTAGTTTGCTGACCCCTGTAATAGAATATTAGAAAACCAAGAAAAGAAAAAAATCACACATAATCACACTATCCTAACACAATCACTATTAATAATTTTGCCTATTTCTTTTGATTATTTTTCTTTATTCATATATTTCTAATTAATTTAAATAATATTGTGATCATACAGACCATATAATTGTAAATATTGCTTTTTTTCACATTGTGATTTTTTATTAGTTGTCTCTATTAGCAATTTTTTTTCTTTTGATTAGAGAAGCGTCACATTCCAGTTCTTATAAAATCTGGAATATGCAAAAGTGTAAACCAGAATAAAATATTACCAAATAAAATCTTCAATTGCCACCATGGTTTATAAAGTATCTTCTTTTTTCCCCTATGTTTTGTTTTCTTTATTTCTTTTTTATCTATTTACATACTGTTTGTATATTCATACATTGAGAAATGCTGTTTGGAAAGCCACCTCAAATCATTACTTTAGGAGAATTTGGGTATAAACAACAAATGCATCTACCATTCTATTAGGGACTGTGAATGGAAATATTTTATAATTTAAAAATTTAAAAATGGTATTGGAAAGGCAAATCCATTTTATTTTTCCAAGAGGATACCATAAAAGCATAATAACAAGTTATTCCTCTCTGAAGACACACATACACAGATGATATGGCTCTAGATACAGTGACATTAACTAGATGGAACAGTTTCAAAAGTTCAAATTACTTGTCTCTTACTTTACTGATTTAAATGTATTATAATCAAATTAATATATAATCTAATCTATAGGTATACAAAAATGAATAAAGGGATCTATGAATCAATAAATATTGAGTCATATTTAGTCATACTTAGGCCAAGTAAGTGCTTATTAAGTAACTACTTATTTGTTCAGTTAAATTTCCACTAAAGTCCTATAATACGCTGTCCTTATTTTTCAAATGAGACTAAAGCTCAGAAACACTAAGAAACTAGACCCAAGTAAAATAATGTCAGGGACTGGATTTCTCTAATCACTGCTGACTATTAAAAATATATAAATAGAATTAGAAATAAGACCATTGGTTAACGTATTTAGAGAGGAAAACGACAAAAAAAAATTTAGGTATTTTTTATTATATCCTCTCTGCATATCTAAAGTATTCTCATAGGTCAAAATGGTCAAAGACATCCAATTTTCAAAACAGTAAGAAAATAAACCTAAAAAATCACTGCATAGGGATACATTTGTATATTAGAAGCCTACCAAAAACGTCAGGGAAACCACAGTATTAAAGTCAAATGAAAAGCTTTCACCATAAGCAAATAACGCACACAGTGTAGATCCTGGTCAATAATGGTCATCAGAGCAGGGACACTTCTGTAAATTCATTAATATTCTGCAGATGGCAATTGTTCAAATCAACCCAAAATACCACATCTTGTCAAAGAACGATTTTGAAAAGATTTGTATGTCTTCGGTATGTTTACAGTCTGCTTTTGTAATCATTTTTCCATGTTGGAAACAATAAAAAATCATCTATCTAGTTAATTTGAAGTCACTCTTTCTCCTTGGCCATCAGTTAACCCAACACGGTGAGTTTACAGCACATGGGCACTGGAAATAGTACCTTTTAAAAAGCATAATATTTAAGGCAGAAAGTAAAGAGACAGATTGTTAGTATTGGTTAAACCAACTGCAAACAGCAATCAGTCTTTGAAAGATGTCTAAAAAAATCTGAATCTATATATTATTGAATTTTGTTATTATATTTTAAACTAGCCAACTTTCTTATTGCTTAAAAATAAAAAATAAAAATCTAGAAGAATACTGAAGAAATACAAAAGGGCATTTATGTGGTAAACTACTTTTTGTTGTGTAATCAGAGTGTAAAAACAATTATGAAGCTTAAAGTCCTCACTTTGCAATTTTCCTGTTTGGGTAAAGGAAACTAAAGCATTTTTTATGACTAGTTCATGAGTTTAAACTATTGTAGTTTTTATCACATCTGCGACAGTTTACACTTAGAAATACAACTGGATGATTTATTTTTCAGTCATCTCAAAAATCATCAATAACTTCTCTAAATAATCTTAAATTCATTATTTTTAAATGATGATATCAATAGGAGCATTAAAATTTACTAATATTCAGATCATGTTATGAATATTAATACCGAAATTACTAATAAGCTAGGTTGATGTTGGGATTTCCATTTCACAGATGGGCATCTATGCTCATGGAATAGTGAAGAGGCTCATACAGATTCACACAATAAATAGGTGGCAACACTAAATATAAATTCTATGAATCTGAATCTTTAAATGATTTGTTTCCAATGCACTACATTCTATGAATTAAGCCTTATTATTATTTATATGGTTTCATCTGGGGCTTCAGAGGCTTGGAATACTGGCTCTGTCACTTTGTGACACTGAGTGAAGTAATAAGACTCTCTGAGTCTGTAAAAACAGGCTAATAACTGTATTTACCTCACAGGGTAATTGAGAGGACTGACAGAAGAATACATGTAAAATAAATAGCATGATTGGAATATCCCAGGTAAATGTAAATATCATTATCTTGACCTTCCTTAAAATGATAAATGAAAACATATCACATTAACATGAGGAAAGATGCAATAAAAAAATCACATTTTAAAGAACAAAGCATTTATGGGGATTTCCTTTCTGCTAAACTCTATGTTGTACATTATATTTAATGTAGTAACTGTAACTTTCAAAAGCCAAGTCTTAAAGTGAAATTTTACAAGA